CTTTTTCGAATACCAAAGCAATGGTGGACTGTAAATTGGCTTGCTCTAAAACGGGGCGATCGAGCTGGGCCATAATATCGGCCGAACTGGATAACGGTATTACTTGCCAAGGCCTCATAACACCATTTTTTCGATGGGCATAACCAAAATGCCTTCGGCTCCCATGCGTTTTAATTCATCAATCGATGACCAAAAATCCTTATCGGGAATGACCGAATGCAGGGCACTCCATCCTTCTTGCGCCAGTGGAACCACCGTAGGACTTTTAATGCCCGATAACACTTGGGCAATGGCCGATATTTTATCATTGGGTACATTAAGCACCACATATTTATTTTGTTGAGCCCTTTGGGTGGCTTCTATTCTAAAAATTAACTGCTCATAAATGGCTTGTTTTTCGGGCGACAAATTGGGGCTGGCTATCAATACCGCTTCAGAGTGCAACAACACCTCCACCTCTTTTAATCCGTTCATAAATAACGTATTGCCAGAACTCACCAAATCGCAAATCCCTTCGGCCAAACCAATGCTGGGGGCCACCTCAACCGATCCACTGATTTCATGAATTTCGGCCTGAATGCTTTTGGATTTTAAAAATTTTTCGGGTTTGTCGGTCAGTTGATCTTTGGGGTAATAGGCTGGATGAACAGGAAGCAATTGTTGCAATCGAGGGATTAAAAAATCAATATTGACTTTTTCTTTGGCCGAAATGGGCAAAATCTCGGCACTGGGAATTTGGGCGTGCCAATGATCCGATAGTTTTTCTAGCGCATCGGGTTTGATTAAATCAATTTTATTAATCAATATAAGAATGGGCGTAGAAGATGTTTTTAGTTGAGTCATCAAAGCCTGATTTTGAAACTCCAACTCTTTGGGTTGAACCACCAATAATATAATATCGGCATCTTCGATGGCGCGTTTTACTTCATCCATCATATTGGCCTGTAAAGGATAGGCTGGATCTAAAACCCCGGGTGTATCCGAAAACACCATTTGAAAATCATCGCCATTGACCATGCCCAAGATTCGATCTCTGGTGGTTTGGGGTTTGGCCGAAATAATGGCCAGTTGTTCACCCACCAATCGGTTCATGAGGGTCGATTTCCCTACATTGGGGTTGCCAATAATGTTGATGAATCCAGCGTAGTGTGTTGTGTTTTCCATAAAGACAAAGTTAAATAATGCAAACGACTTTTAGTGGACTTTCTTAGGAAGTGAGTAGCGTCCTTTTTGTAACCAAAATCGTCCCAACAGTTGAACGCCATTTTTTTTAGCCCAATAACAATAATTGGAGTCCACACCATAAATTTTTTCGCA